AGTGCTGGGAGAAAGCTTGGGAAGGGGTTTGGGTCTAGCAAAGGGTTTACATCTCCAGCTGCTTGCCTGGATGGCTCATAAAATAATTGCCCTCAAAGAAAACCACCTGCTTGGTAGCTTGGAGAAGCTGTTTTTCCAGCTGCTGGGGAAGACAGCGAGAGGACAGGAGTTGAGGCAGAAAGAAGGCTGCTGCAGTTTCTGTTACGTTTTGGCTGCCTGCTCGCTGCTCTGTGGGACTGCTTTTGTTGGCAGTCCTGCAGCTGGGGAAAACCCCTCGCTAGTCCATGGGCTGTGGGTGGGAAAGCGGATTTCGAAGCGCCTCTCGCCTTTCCCATGCAGCGAGCGCCGTGGTCAGGGAGCTGGAGGAGTGCAAAGGGTGCCCAACTGGGCTGTTTGCTTTTCTTTCACCGTGATTTTCCCTGCCAGGGAAATACCAAGCAGAACAAGGGAAATGAACTTGGTGTTGGAGAGCTGCTAGTGAAACATCTGCAGACCAGATTTATGGAGGGGGGGATGGAGACTCGGTTGGGTTGTGGCCAGCCGTGAACAGGTCAGGAGACAGTATTTCAATAAGGTCTTAGAAATACTGGAGAGATTTCAAAGGAAAGCCCCCAGAACGATTAGATTTGGAGAAAGGACTTTACAACGTGGCTGCCTGATTGTTTTTTGGCATCCCTTGCGACACAGGAGCTCTGCAAACAGGCCTGGAGAGCTGTACGCGTTGAGAACCGGTGCAATTAGTAGGCTGTAAAATTATGCAAGGAATACCTTGGGTGTGCTGGCACAGGGCGTGGCGTATCGCTGGGGAAAAAAAAAATCAACTCGTGATTGATAAACAACAATTAAATCCACCTTCTCCTCGGTGGGGGCAAGGTGTGATTGTCGGGAGCGCAAACCCCACGTTCCCCTCGGTACAAACCAGCTCTCCATTCCCTTTGGACAGACGTCCTTCTGCTCGGCTTTCTTCTCAGGTGTGTTTAACTCGCCAGCCTCGAGTGTTTGGGCTTTCGTAACCCGTTCACCGAAGCAGGTTTTGTCCCACGCTGTTGCAACACTGCTGCTCAGACCCAGTTGGGGCTGCAGAGTGGTCTCGGTGAGTGGCGGGGATGCCTCCTGCATGCCGACGGCGCTTATTTTGGCCGCAGGAATGTTTATAAATAGCCCTGGGTCAGGGCTCGAGGCGTTCATCGTGCCCCACAGGAGTCCTCCATCCGAGCCAGCCTTCAACCCTTCCTTCTGGTTTTGGAGCACAGAGGAGACGAGGGGAAGAGCATCGCTCTGTAAAACCCAGAGGTGACCACTGTGGCGTCTGGTTGATGCTTTTTTACCCTACTGCTTGCCTCCGTCCTGATTTTCGGCGGTTCCAGCCCAGCTCTCTGCCCAGGTATGTCAGGGAGCTGCTTTGTGGATGCTTCATAAAGTTTGGTCACCACCTCCCAAACAGGTCCATCTGCCACGCCGTGATTAGGGAGAGGTTGGCTTCAAATTATTCGTTTGCGTTTTATAGCGATTTACAGGAGAGAAGTAAACACTCCGTATAAATGCCGCTTTTTCAGGGCAGGGCCACATCACTCCTGCCTGTGCTGCATGGTCAGGCTCGGGTGCTGGGACCGTCCATGGTCTGTGCCTCTGCCCTAAGACACTTGGGTCTGAATTTCTACAGATTTTGGGCAAGGTGGATCTTGGAGCAGGCCACTGGGCCTGTTTTGGGGAAATGATGCCCCTGGATTTTGTTCCCCAACTGGGAAAGCTATTTCACCGTACCTTTCCTCCGTGTGGGTCTTCGCCTGGCTTCCCAAGCCGAAAACTCCTCCCCATCAGCTTTTGCAAGTCGCAGCCTTTCCCGTCCCTCGCCTAGGGATGACTCAACCCAGGAGATCCCAGGGCTTGTTCTGTCTTGTTTCCTCCCTGGACACGTGGTGGCTCGGCAGGGATTTGCCTGGCCCATCGCTGTTTGGGGCTGCTTGTGCTCCAGCAAGCCGTGTGCGTCCTTTGCTCAGGGCCGTAAGCCGTTGGCCGTGTTTATTTTGGAGGGATGCTGGAAACGGCACCGTCCCTTGACACAGCACCATCTGGGGAACGTGGTGGCACATCTTTGTCCCTGCGGGTGGGAGCGAGCCCTTGGAGTGCTTCCCTGTGACCGAGGGTTCCTAAACTGCCGTGACTCGGGGCGCTCGAATCCGAATCCGAAACTGCTGAGCGCACGTCGCACGCTCCCAGGGTCCCACGTGCGGAGGGTTGGTGTGACCCTGTGACTCTGAGCCACCTCATCCGCTGGCTCCTGATGTCGCAGAGGATCAGACTTGACCTTTTGGGGTAGGTTTGCTCTGGACATCGCTGTGGGGTTGGATTTTCCCAAGCAGCCTCCCCAGGAAGGGGGCGCGATGCAAGGGTAGCTTGGTTTGTGCTGCCTGCACCTTGCAGAGCAGCTGGAAGTCACATCGAGCCTTACTATAACACAGAACGAGCCCTTCAAAACCTAGATCCCTTCGTGGGGGGAAGAGTTGGCTTTTCTAGGGAAGAGAAGTCTCTTTTTCAGAAACTCCCTGGTGCTTCTCGATGTTCAGAGGTGTTGAGGTGAAACAACTGCTGTTTGCTAACGGTTTGCGTCCTCTGATGACAGGAGCAGGTCGGTCCGTGCAGCCATGGAGAGGGTTGGGAGCTGTGAACTGGCTGCAGGAAGGACTGTAACAAAGATCTAAGTTATTTTTGGAGAAGGAAGGAAAGAAAAAAGAGGAAATATTTCTATTTGCTCATCTCTTTCGCTGCCCAGGCTTGGAGTCTCTCTTTCATGGGGTATTCCTCCAGTCGGTGGCACAGACAGGCTCCAAGTTCCCTCTGAGATGACCTCCCCGAGATGTGTCCGCAGAGCTGGCGGGTGGCTCCTTGTTTTCGGTGGTAAGCTCATGTAGGGCCTGGTGGGTTTTGTTTTCCCCTGGCTGTCCCCCACAGCTGCATTTGCTCAAGCCAGTGCAGAGCCCGCAGAAACACCCCGGATAGGAAACCTCTTCTGAGGGTGCCCCAGCTCTCTGCAGAGGCAACAGCCTGGTTGGGACAAGATGGGAAATGCTGCCTTCAAATCCTGGCTCACGGCCCGTATGGCAGGGGCTTTGCTTCCTGCCTCAGTTTCCCCCAAAATGGGATATTTTAGTGAGCTCCAGACAGCTCTTGCAGAACATCTGCCGTGGCTCCGTCTATGCATTGCCAGGCCGTACGGCTCTAAATTATGACTTTCTTCCTTCCTCTAGTGCCCTCGCTGCAGGAGTGAGCTTAAAACACTGGCTGCAGGTCGCTCCTGAAATAGTTCTTGAATAGTGGGATTTTAGGGCGTTCTCCTCCCTGCTTGGGTCTGGGCTGCCTATTCGTAGTGTAAATCTTCTGGGACAGCTTCCTCCCCAAAACGGGTAAGAGCTGCTGAGCTGAAACGCTTCAGGTCTCAACCTGAGTGTCGTGAAAAAGTCTGTGCATCGCCAGAGCACCCGCGGGTGGCTCTGCGAACAAAACATTACTGCATGTTTCCTTCCCCAGGGGATTTACCTTCTGGACTAGGCGGGACAGGGAGAGGCTGAACTGCGCCGTGCAATCGGACAAGGGAATTTGGCCGCGGCTCTTTGTGCCCAGCAGTTCTTTCGCACATCAGGGCTGGGAGGTGGTCTGTGCAGGAACGCGCCTGGCTCTCCTGTCTTACCGAAGAGCGCCGGAGAGAGTCGAGGTCTTCAAGCCAGGAGGGTGTTAGAGCTAGATATATTCATGGGTTTTAGTCAGGAACAGTTCCCCAGGGGCTGTGAGGTGTCCTGTCCCTCTTGTTAACTTTGACGTCGAGACTGGGTGATTTTCTGAAGGAGCTTCTCTGGCTCTAGTAATAACTCAGGAGGAGAAACCAGTTTCTGGGGACAGGTCAGACTCGACAAGCACAATACTGTCAAGTTTTTGGTTTTTAAAGCCACCGTCTAACTGGTGAGGTTTGGCAAAGACACATCGGGTCATGAAAATGATGTACGTACGGGTGATGCGTTGTCATGGCTCAGCTGAACTGTGCTCGCTTGTCACCAGCCAGAGCAAATAAGCGTGACATCTACAGCTGAGATTACATCCTGGGTGAGTAATCTCCCTGCCCGAATGCCAAGTATGTGTGAGACGGGGACCTAAATAGATCTGTAAGCTCTGGGGGCAGGAGGAGGCCGGTAGGTCAGCTGGGAAGGGATATAAGCTTTGGGTGTAAGGGGATTTCTAGGGTTTCTAGCAGGTTTTGCAGAAGCACAAAAGCAATTTGCGCTGCGTCTGACTTCAGAGCGAACTTTGCCGCTGCGAGCGGGTGAGCCGGGGATGAGTCGCGCTACCCTGATCTTTGAGAAAGCCACGTGACGCATCGTAGCGATGTAGCCTCACCCCAGCGGAGGCAAACGACTCGGGATTAATTGACCTGCTTTTGTCACGTCTGCACGTGCTCTGTCCGTATCTGTGCTGCTGCCCTCTGCACCCTCCGAGTCCCCGCCGCTGTTCGGCCAGGCAGTCCGTACCAGCCTGCCTTTGAAAGCCTGGGGCGGCTCTCAGCTGCCTGGCAGCAGTAGGCAGCATCGTGGCAGTTACCTCGAGGTGTCTGTAACAAGAAAACCTCTGTCTCCTCCCGGGATGCTGAAACTGTGCTGAGATTTTGCAGATTTAGCACAGAGCGTGTGTGCTGCACGAATGAGGCTCCGGGACTCGGAGCGTCTTTTATCCCTGGGAGCAACGTCTCTCCCCAACCAGGGTTTCCCATGGCAAGACCCCGAGACTGAGGAGGGGACTCATCCATGGCAGAGCCAGAAACAGAGCCCGGAGCTCCGGTTTATTTCTGTTCAGAGCAGCTTTGTGCTGGCTGCACCGCTGCAGAGGAACCACCAAAACCCCACTGCAGTGTTGGCTGAAAAGGAGGAGGCTGTGCAGCCCAGCCCGGCGGCTCGGTGAACAGGGAAGCTGGTTGTGCAGCCACGGCCACGCTGCTGCCCTGACTCTGAGGCATGGACGAGTCTGTGGGTGAGGTTCTCCTTACGCCTTTAGGGTACTCTTAAAACCAATTGCTACACCCTGTAAGTAAGTTGCATCGAGGTTTAGCAAGCCGAGAGATTAGAACCAGCTATTTAATGCTGGCTGCGAGCGTGTTGGCATCTCCATCTGCCTCCTCGGTGGGCTGCAGAAGGGTGTTTCAGCCGTCCCATCTCTTCTGTTTTGCAGCTGCAGAGCTACTTCGCTGCCTGTGAAGACGAGACGCCGGCCATCAGAAACCATGACAAGGTGCTGCAGCGGCTCTGTGAACACCTGGACCACGCTCTGCTCTATGGGTAAGCGCGGAGCCTGACGCTGGGTCTCCGGGGTTGCTTTTCACCGTGCTTCGCCGAGCGTGTAGCCTCAGCACGGGGAAGCCGTCTAGGCAGTAATTGGGATGGAGATAACGAAGCCCTTGCTGAACATTCTTCTGGCCTTCTTTCTTCTTCCAGCCTGCAAGATCTTTCCTCGGGCTACTGGGTGCTGGTCGTTCACTTCACCCGCCGGGAAGCCGTCAAACAGATAGAAGTGCTCCAACACGTGGCCACCAACCTGGGACGCAGTGAGTATCCGCAGGCGCTGCGGGCAAACCTCAGTTTGGGGACAGCTGGCGGGAGGCCCGGGCAGTTGGGCTGGCCGTGCGTTCGAGGGCTGGGGCCGCAGGCAGATGGAGGGAGCCAGCGGGAGCTCCCCGCGGAGCCCGGCTCGCCTTGGCCGAGGAGGTGGAAGTCCTGGCGGGACAGCTCTAGAAATAATCGCACCGCGTCTCGGGGTCAAAGGCAGCCCTGCTGCTGCTGCCGTGGAGCCAAAGCGATCCGCTGGCTCCTGCGCTCTCGGGAGGGGCTCCTGGCAGAGGGGAGGCGTCGCCTCTCGCCGCAGGACGTCTCGCTGTAGCTGTCGTTTGCCTGATGCTGCTTCTCCCCTGCCGCGAGTTGTCTGTAGCGGATGTTTGGGACCGTCGAGGCTGCTTTTGACGCAGGACAGTGCTCAGAGACCTCCTCTCTGCCTGATTATCCCAACACCCTTCATCTCCCAAGCCCCGTACCGGTGAGAGCGGAGCTGAGCGCAGACTCCATCGTCACCTCTCTCTGCACCAGAATTTGTGTCATACCTCAAATTGCACCTGCCCTGATTTAGAGTGATTCTCCCTCCGTCTCTCCTGCCTCCTGATCCCTGCTGGCAATGGCAGCAGGGCTCCCATCTCGCTGGAGAGACAGTTGTGTGTCTGCTTCTCAGCTGGCTACCACGTGGTCCCTTGTTGCCACTCCGAATCACAGATCTGCCCCTTCATCTCCCGCTGACATTTTCCCCCCTCAGTTGCTTTCCTGAAATGATACAAGTGTGAATGAACGATCTGACGTGCTTTAACTGATTCATGATTATTTCTTGGCTTGCTTTGCTTCTCAGGCGTTTCCCCACAGATGAATCTCTCCGCTGCTTTCTTTGCAGGCCGAGCATGGCTGTACCTAGCCCTCAACGAAAACTCCTTGGAGAGCTATCTGAGGCTGTTCCAGGAGAACCTAAGCCTGCTGCACAAGTACTACGTCAAGTGAGTACCCCAGCTCTGTTGTGTTGGGGCGGTGGTTGGCATCCCTTCTGGCCAGAAGCCAGCCCCTAATTTGCCAGTGGGGGACAAGCAGTTGATTGGGGTCTGATTTTTCCTGTGGTTTTTGCAGAGATTTTGTATGATTAATTTAAAGGTCCCAGATGTGGACACACGGCCCTATATAAGAGGGCCAAGAAGCTTCTCTCCTAGTTACTGCTTTTACTCCCAGTCCCAGATGTAGCCTTTATGTTCTTCCATGTTTTTCAAGAAGCTGCTGAGCTCTTGGCCAGGGATCCATCTCCGGTGGACACCTGGAAGTCTAGCTGTAGCTCGGTCCGGGCACAGCACACAGTAGATGCCCGACTGCTCGGAGCCACACATACCTGCCCTTAAGCTCTGTCGCTGCTCTTCAGAGGCAAACAACAGGCTCACAGCTCTGGGGCCATTTGTGAGGCAGCTCGGAGATACACCACCAAGAAAACAGAAGGGCTCTTGTAGCTCTGTCTTCTCTTTCCCACTTCTCTAAAGCTCTTCTTCAGGTAAGATGCCCTGGTTTGCAGTCACGATCATCTGACCTTGTTCTTAACGCTAGTGTCCGGGCTGGAGTTCATCCGCTTTGACTTGGATCTGGTGAGTGTTTTATCTGTGTCTCCTGGCTCTGGGAGCTCGGGTATGTGGAGCAGAGGGAGTCCTGGGTGACAGAGGTCCCATTGCTTGGTCCAGGGTGTACCTTCTTGTGGGCCTTCAGCTGAAAACAGGAAGCTGCTGCTTTAGGAAAGGCTCCAGGCTGGGGTCTTTGGAGATCCAGCAACGGGATTTATTCCTGTGGCTCAGATATTTCTCTGCACGGTTCAGAAGAGGAACGAGGCAGGTTTGGGGAAGCCAGCTGTGGGGCAGATCGATGGGATAAGGGAGTCGAGCTCTGCAAGTGTGGTGCGAAATGCTGGCATCCCTCCAGGTTAACACGAAGCCACTGGCTAACCCTCGGTGTCGCAGTGGAGCCACGGGGTTTCCTCTTGAAAGGCAGCAGAAGGGGACAGTCAGAGGACGTTCAAGGACAGTCCCAACGTTTTGACTGTGCTAATAGCTGTGTGTGGTGACTCAGCCTGGCTCACCCCACCTCTCTTCTCTGCAGGACGCTCCTTACCTGGATCTGGCCCCTTACATGCCAGATTACTACAAACCTCAGTACCTGCTAGACTTTGAGGACCGCCTGCCCAGCTCCGTGCACGGCTCGGACAGCCTGTCCCTCAACTCCTTCAACTCGGTCACCTCCACCAACCTGGAGTGGGACGACAGCGCCATCGCTCCATCCAGTGAAGGTCAGTGGTTTTTTCGGAGACGGGTGCGGTCAGGGCTGGGTGCTCCCGCATCCCCGTCGGCTCAGCTGGTGCGCCGGGCGAGGCGCCACAGGAGGGAGCCAATGATGGGCTGGAAGAGACCAAAGCGAGAGACCCAGCAGTCAGGCTGAGAGTCTCTCCCGTCTTGCCTTGGGAGGTGCTGGGATTTAAGCTGTGGAGAGCCTCATTGCCTCCGACCGGGAGGGAAGGACTGTCCCTGCTGGTCACCTCAGGCCACGTTTCCATCCTGGGGGGTGTGTTTGAGCATGAACTGGAGAAGTCTCCCCATGGCGTGAAAGCAGTGACTGTATCTGAAGGTGGCTTCCAGTTCAGAGCAGGTGTGCAGGGCTGCAGAGGAGCTTTTTTACCTGCTTATTTTGCAGCTCAGACAGCCACATGTGCTGGAAGTGGTGGGGAATAGTTTCCAGCGTCTTTTCTGTACGTCCACAGTCTGAGGGAAAGGCAGCCAGTGGTCTCTGAGGTGCTGTTTTTTCCCCTTTCTTTGTCTGAAATTGAGCAGGCTGCTAAGTTCCATACTCACCCCCTTATCCCTAGCAGAGAGGGCTGGATGTTGTCCCTGATGAACTGAGAAGACGTGTACCTTGTGCCTGCCCCCCTAACCCGCTTCAGGCTGGGGCAGGGAGCTCTTACCCCGCATGAAGCACGTTTGCATGAAGAACAGCTCTGCTGCTGCTGTTCTTAATCCAGAAGACGTTGGCCCTGTCCCTTTCTTGGTGTCAGTTTGAACAAAGCAAGATCAGGGCGTTCTGGGATAGATGGGGTGACGCGAGCTGTTCGTTGGATGCGGTGAATTCAGGACTGAGTCCGCCTACGGATGCGGTGCCTCCGAGACAAGGGTCCACCCCGTGGCCTTTTATGTGCGGGGTGTAAACTGCAGGCGTTAAAGATGTTGAGAAGGAGCGGCCTGGGACGGGCGTTGGCGTCGTTTTCGCGAAGGACTTGGAAGCGCAGCTCTGGTTTGGGCTCAAGCGTGAAAGGGTTTGTGTGCAGGGACCTGCTTGTGCCAAACCTCCGGCGTCCCAGGTTAAGGTGGGGATGGCGCAAGGAGCCGAGCAATACAAGTCGCAGGAAGAAGCTTCTCTGTCCCCAGAGGTTTGGCGTAAGCAGCTGTTTCAGTGCTTGCTGCACCCCCTGCATTCCTGTTGCTCCCTCAGCAGCACGTGCCTTGGTGCCAGCACATCTCCTACCTGCCCCTGCTGACTGGGAAAGGGGCATCACTTGGGTTTGGCTACACGCTCCAACCCGTCTGGTGGATGGAAGCTTAATGCTCAAGAGAAGAGAGGTTTGGAGTGGAGATCCGGGAGGTTTTGGAGCTGGAGTTTGGTTTTGGCATCGTCCCAAGCTATCCCGTGTGTCCAGGCGGCGGTTGTGCTCTGCGTCTCGGTTTCCCCGTGCGCAGAGGGCTTTGGGGCTGATGTGGAGGTGCCGTCCCCTGTTGCGGGAGCAGGACGGCGGAGGTGTCTGAGCCCAGGAGGGCAGGCATTGCCGCTGCTCCTCTGGCGTGGAGGAATTTCACTTCAGTCACTGTTTCGCTGCTCGTCGTTGCAACAGGAGCATCTTGCTACCCCGGGAGTGTGGGTGGAGCTGGGGATTTTAGGATCGGAGGAGAAGTTTTTCCCTTTAATCAGACCCTTGGCTTTGCAAACGTTAATGAGTCAAACATCACAGTGTCTGTGAGAGGTAAGTGTGAAGTGGGGAAACTGAGGCACAGATCGATTAAATTCGTTCACCAAAGGGATCCCTGGTTAGGTACCTGCCACCCACCGTTTTTTTCTGGTTTAGCTTTCCAGCAGTTTGCATAACGGGGCCTTCGTCCTTCGCTGGTCCCGCTGTAGCTGCCACAACGCAAACATCCAGCAGGAACAACCATTAGCGCAGCTGGTTTCCATTCGCATCCATGTTCCCTAACTACTTTCTCATGCCTTTCAGATACCGCTGGAAAATTGTTTTGTTTCTCTCCTTTCCCGTCTCCCTCCCCAAATCCCCTTCACACTCTCCCCTGTCCCCCCCCTCCCTCCCCGCTACTTGTATTTCTAATCCTGAGTTTTATCCCTCGTTTTTGTAGATTATGATTTTGGAGATGTCTTTCCAGCAATGCAGACCATGCCCAGCAGAGACTGGGAAGGTGGGACACACTCATCTGTTACAACATTTTGGTTTTCTCTCTGCATTGCTGCTACCTGAAGCTTGCTGCATGCTCCCCGGTTCATTTCTTTAACAAGCAACCGCCACATCTCGATGGAATTCGGTAGAGGCAGAAAGGGGTTGCAAAGATCCCCCCGAGGTGGGAGGTTGTGTGTCTCCTCTGTGGGACCACGTGCAAAGCTTTCCCCAGCTCCTGGTGTCTGCAGCCACGCTCACCTGGCCGTATATCCCGGAGCGGAGGGATGTTCCCCTGCCTCTGACCATGGCTCCGTGTCTTCTAGGCAGCAGAGGCAAGGCTGGAGTTTCAAGTGGCTGCTCCATATGCTACAGCCTGTGTTGATAAAGGAGCCTTTGTACCAGGTTACCAAAAAAAACTAATAAAAAGCTGCAAAATCGCCCCCCGCCGTGCCGCCGGCAGGCAGGGATCAGCGGCTGTCCAACAGGAGGGTGACCGTGCCAGCTGACCTTGCACCGTTGATTTCCTCCGTGGGGTAAAGCGCGCAGGGTGCTGACTGAAAAACTGATCCACCTTCACTGTTTTCCTGAAAGCCCTGGAAAACAGTTGAATTAATTCTACTTTCTTTAATTTGGGGCCTTTTGCGGGGATTAATTTGGGAGGTTTTGTTTTACTTGGACCCTGGTCTGCTGCGTCAAAACATCTCTCTTGAAGCCACAACGTCCAGCACGTGGCTGTGTTCAGTTTGGGTCACGACACTTCTATTTTTTTATTTTACCGCTTTTAAAAGCGGCTTATCAGCTCTGCCTGGCCTTTGTGGTCAAGAGCACGTGCCCATTTCAGAGGAACTTGTTCTCCTTCCTCCCCGTGTGGTCCCCGTGCGTATCCTTTGCACGTCACAGGAGTAGGAGACCCCTCTGCTTCACCCCTGGAGGAAATACACCCGCACTGTCCTTTGCAGCTGGATGGAGCCTTGGGTCTGAATTGCCTTGGCCGGTGCTGCCTGAATGTTTGGGGAAGTTCTGCCTGAATTCCATGTGGATGGCTCTAGGGCTCTAACACGCTCCCTCTCATCTTCTGTCTTACCCCACGTGCTGAGGTGCTCACAGAGATGGTTTAACGTCTCCCTGAAGCTTGGGCATTCACCTAGAGGGTATGAACCACTCTAACCCACCAGCCAGGGAGCAGCTTAACTGGGTGCAGGCTGGGAGAAGCCAAGGGATGCTGGGGGCAGATCCCTCCGGTTTTCGGGGATGGGCACCACTCCCGTGTGCAGGTCCCAGTTGCGAAGTGGTGCCAGTGTGATCCGCCGCCGCTCCGGGCCGGCTTACTCTGTGCTGAGCAAACCTCGGCCGTAGCAAAGTTTTGGTCCCGACCCCCCGCCGGGTTAGCTTACTGATGCGTTCCTTGCCGTTTGTGCACAGAGCAGGAGGTTTGGGGCAGTTCCCTGTTTCCAGCGGACGCATTTTGGGGCAAAATTCTGTATTTTGGACAAAGATTGTTTTGTCTCAACAGAACCAGCAGGGTTTAGGCCAAAGGAGTGACGTTCATTTTGGCGATACAGGCTAGAAGCCTGGGGCTGAAATAGCTTTTAAACATTTTATTTTCCCTTTCCTTTAAAAATCCACCCGATTTACTTCCCTCGATGGCGTTCACACCCTCCGCGCTGCGGGGCAGGCGTTCCAGCAGGAACAAAGCAGCGCTTTGACAGCGGCCGTCACAAAACGGCCTTTATTGGATTTATTTTATTTTTTTTTTTAATAAGAGCTTTCATTTTCCTACTCAAAACCTACGCCCCCGAATCAGTGTGCCAGGGCTGTGGTTTCCTTCGGAAGGGGTCTCCCTGCCTAGCAAGAGGTTTCTAGCTGGCTTTGGAAAGGAAGGGTGCGGGAGAAGAGAAGGGCATGGGTCACCTGCCTTTAACCGTGACTTTGTAACCCCAAGCATGACTCCTGTAGCCCTTCTCCCCTGCTCCTTTTCCCTCTAGAAGACTAACCATGGCCAAGCCGGTGGTGCTACGACCTGTCTGTGCAGCCTGTTGTCCTCGGACCCCGGTGAATGCTGTGTGTCCCCCCCCGCCACACTTCCAGCCCCCCGCGTGGGTCTCGTGCAAGCGGAGGAAAGCAGCCGGCTCTGTAAAGATCGCTGCTGTGTGGGCTGGCCTTGCTCCTGCCCTTCTAGCCAAGCAAGCATCTCCCTAACACCCCCTTGCAGGGGAGAAGCAGCCTCATTAGCTCGCTGTCATCTTGCTAAGGAGCACCGTGGCCCAAAAACCCCTCAAATTCCTTCCCAAGGATGCTGCCTCTTCTTCTTAATCCAGCTGCCGGCTCCTGGGTGACCGAGCTGTTATTCCCAGGCGTTGTCTAAATCGCAGCGGGGGTGCAAAATGCCGAGCGATGCCGGGCCGCACGCTGGCCTCTCTGTCCCTCCTCGCAAAGCGCCTGCTGCCCGCAGCGATCTCGGGAGCTGAGCTGCTCCGACAGCGCTCTGCCGGTGCCTGGGGTGGCGTCGCTGCAAGCAGCGCAGCGCCCACGTAGCGCCCCGAGCCCTCAGCGCGCGGCTTTGCTTGATTTGCCTCCATCCACGTGCCCGAGGTGACTTTCATCCTGCTCTTCCCTTCTTGTCTTTGCAGACGGAGACCTCACGGACACGCTCAGCTGCCCGCGCTCCACCGCCTCGGAGGCGAACGGCAGCAAGGCCTCCGTGAAGAGCCCGACGCAGCGCTACAACCCCTTCAACGAGGAGAGAGCTGACGTGCCGTCCTCCACCGAGACCACGCCGGTGCACACAGCTTCTCAGGAGAAGGCAGAAGCCACCCCCGAAGGAACGGACCAGTCCGAGAGCTGCACGGAGCTGGAGGTCATCAGGTGGGGACAGAGCTGCCTGGCCTGGAAACGTGCCCCTGAGTGCCATCTGTCACCAGGGGCTGATGCTGTGCCACCCCTTCTGGCCCAGCAGAGGCAGCATCTGTGGTGTAGCCTTTATACAGTCACGAGAAGGTGGTTTTATACCTCCAGACACCAAGAGATGCTCTGTAGGTGTCCGCAGAGGTGGTCCCCTTGGGTCTGTAGAGCTACCGGCTGGCTCGACATGAACACCTTTGCCCGGCAGTCTGGATCAGAGAGCTCAGAGGAAGCTGTGAGCTTTCGTTTGAAGCTTTCTCCAGCTGGTGGCAGGTTTGCAGCAGCTCTGGGTCCCAGATCTTCTCTCCCGTCCTTCTTGTTTGTCAATGAGCTGCGGCTAAACCTGTTGAGGGAGCTGCCTCCGCAGAGCTGCTGGCCTGCCTTTGACTCTTGCAGAGGTGATCCCGGGGGGTCCCTCGGAGCTCTTAACCCAGACAAAGAGCTCAAGGCTCGGTGTACTCACACCCGGGGACAGGGGCACCCCAAAACCAGCCCAGCAGGCCTGTGCTTTGCTCTCGCACCCTGTTTTTCCTGGGAGGAGCAGAGGAACTGGGTTACATCTCGCCCTGCTCTCGGGCAGACACCCGGGAAGGGCAGCACTGCGCTCGCTTCCCAAACAAGAGTGACCTGGCGGCAGTTTGGGTGCCACGGGAGGCCTGAACGCTTCCGCAGCGGCATCCCGGTGTGCCGTTCGGCTGGAGCGGGCTCCAGCCTGCACCTCCCTCTTCTGGCGGGCGGGGACACGGCATCCCCACGTCCTCTCGAAACCCTCTCCTTTCCCAGCATCTTGCTCTCACGCAGGGATTTCTCCCACGTCGCTTCAGCTCCGCATCCATTTGTGCTCCCCTTTGCAGCCAAAGGAAGGCCCAGGTGCTGCGTCCAGCAGCCCATGCCTCTTTTCTTTTTCGGATAGGTAGGAAGCAGTGTCCATACCCTGCTTTTCTTATGGAGGCTGGCATGGAGATGGAGGCTCTACATGGCCACACACTGAGCGAAGCTCTTGATATATGGATTTCTCTGCAATAGCAAAAATTGCAGAGAAAGGTGGTTGGGAAAGGGTGGGACCCCTCTCTGCATTGCTGAAGTCGAAGCAGGCGCAGATGAGTGACATCTCTATTGGTCTCTCGCCGTGCAGGTTAGCCAAGAAGAAGAAAACTGGCAAGAAGAAGAAAGTGAAGCCCGAGGAGCCGGTGAACACCCCTGCGCCCGTAGTGCCCGAGACCCAGCAGGCCAGTGGAGACAGCGGCGTGAACGGGCTGAGTGACAGAGAAGACCCGCAGAGAGACGATGGCCCCGCTGCCCCGGCTGGGGAGCCACGGCCGGGCGGGCAGGAGGAGGGTCGCGAGCGCTCTGCCCTGGGCCAGCTGGCTTTACGCATCCCCGAGATGAAGGACACGTCCATGGAGAGCGTGGGGCAGCCGCTGAGCAAGGTGATGGACAGACTCAATGGGCAGCTGGACCCCGGTGGGTGGAACGCCCCCCTCGAGCCCCCCGGGCAGTCCTTTCGGACTGGCACGCCAGGGGAGACCCCAGATGGATCGTCCTCTGGCGACTTTAGTGAGGGGATTTCAGCCCCCATGGACTTCTACCGCTTTACCGTTGAGAGTCCAAACGCTGCTGCACCAGGTGGTGGCCACCATGACGCTCCAGGGTCTGGCCAACCGCCACATGTTTCTGGTAGCCTTGAGGCTCCTGAAGAAGAAGAAAGCGGAGAGGGAGAAGCAGTTGGGGCAGTAGAGGAGTCTGGAGGGGCGAGTGATGAACCCCAAACTGCCCAGACAGAAACCACCAACCCCCAGGCTCTCTGCGAGCCGAAGAAGGAGCAGCCCAGCCCTTCCCCAAGCAGCGCCGAGGACTCTGGCGTGGAGGAAGGGCAGGGCAGCCCTTCGGAGCTGACCCATCCCTCCGAGTTCAGGTGAGGCTGGGTTTGCTCAGCAGGGAGAGCGTCTTCCAAACAATCTTGAGCTCAAGCTGACACTTCTTCCTTTGTGGTCAGTTTGGGGGGGACAAAGCCCATCCTTTTCCAGGAGAAGGCATAGGGGGTGAGGGGGAGAAAGTCTTGGGGGGCCAACAGGTGCCCAAATCATGGACAAGTCCAGTAAGGAAGGGGGTTGCCCTTCCTGGACTCACCCAGCGCCACGTCTATATCCATCCTCTACTGTCTCTTCACAGGGTGGATAACAACCATCTCCTCCTGCTGATGATCCACGTCTTTCGGGAGAATGAGGAGCAGTTGTTCAGGGTAAGGTGGTCACCATCGATCTCCCGTGAAGGACCAGCTCGGTGCCTGCGTCGGCCACGGGCTGAGAGCTCCTTTCCCTCCGCACAGATGATCCGAATGAGCACCGGGCACATGGAGGGGAACCTGCAGCTGATCTACGTCCTGCTGACGGATTGCTACGTGTACCTCATCCGGAAAGGTATCCCATCCCGATAGCCTCTGTGCCCAGCTGCAGGGAAGGAGGGAGGCTTGCTTGATCCTTGGCTTGGCCATGAAGGAAGTCACCATAGCTCACTACCTTCACTGCCAGCTCCTGCCCATTCCCTCGTGTCCCCCAGAGCGGTGGCAGTCACAGTAGGGAGCTCAGGTCGACGTGTCCCCCGAGAAGCCCTGGGACACATGCCCTGCGGCTCTGTGCTGCCTGGGACACGGCGTGGTTTGCGGGTCCGTCGCTGCTGCTGCTCAGTGGCCCGTGGCCCGGCGGTGCTGGGCTCCTGTGCCCGGCTTCACGTGGCTCTTTGTGTCTGCGCCAGGGGCAGCAGAGAAGCCGTACATGGTGGAGGAGGCCGTTTCCTACAATGAGCTGGACTACATCTCGGTGAGTCGGGCCTCGGTCGAGTCAGCCCTCTTGAGGGGAGCAGGAGGTGAGTCTGGGGGTCACTCCTCACCTCTCTGGCTGCAGGGGTGTCGGGAGCATCACAGTGGGGCATTTTGGCCAGTGAATCTTTGAGACTGGGAGAGTCAGAAGTGATCCCCCCTCAAATGCCACCTCTGTGGGTGCCCAGCTTGCTGGTATCTTCGCGTGGGCAGCAGAGCGACTGCTGACCTTCTCCCCCGGGGCCAGAAGCCAGGTTCAGCCCTGCTCCATTGCCGCTCATCCCCTGCCTGGCTTCCTTAACCCGTCATCTGTGGCACAGGTTGGGCTGGATCAGCAGACGGTGACTCTGGTGTGCACCAACCGGAGGAAGCAGTTCCTGCTCGACACCGCAGACGTGGCTCTCACGGAGTAAGCAGGGACCGGGTGGCAACCGTGGCGCTTTCCTCCCGGGGTGCGGGACCTCTGGCCCCCAGCGTGACTTGGGGAACGCAAGGGACTGGTGGCAGCCCTTCAAGACAAAGTCCTGCCCCCGGTGGGGTTTGGGGGTTGGTTTGATGCCACCAGCTAAACCCTGCAGGCAGCTGGAAATGCCCTGAGCATGGATAAGCCCAAAGTGTCTTCCCTGGATATACACAGCAGTCACCCCGTCCCTCGGGCTGACAGCCTCGCGGCTCTGGGCGACGCAGACTACGTGTTCTTTGTGTCACTTGGGATGAGTAGGGACAAGGTCTTGAGTTTTCAAGGCACATCCCTGAGTCTCTCTGCACGTTGTCAGCTCAGGGAGGTGACCTCGTTACAGCCTGGGTGGTCATACTGGGGTTTGCACTGGGATGGGTGTCCATCTCCCAGTCCCACCCATCTCCTTCCTGGAGCTCAGACTTCGCAACCCCTGTCGCCTTTGGTCCGTAGGGTGATTTCGAGACCCTTTGGTCTGGAAGGCCAGAGGCCCACGTTGAAGGGAAGCCCCTTCAGCATGAGGGAGACGAGGGGCTGTTTGCCCTGGCCTCATCAGAAATCTCCATCCCCCTCGCAGGTTCTTCCTGGTCTCCTTGAAGTCGGCCATGATCAAAGGGTGCCGGGAGCCCCCTTACCCCAGTATCCTCACAGATGCCACCATGGAGAAACTGGCACTTGCAAAGTTCGTGGCCCAGGAGTCCAAGTGCGAGGTGAGTTTGGATATCGTGGCCGTCGCTATACGTGACGGAGGCTGACGGGACACTCCCTCCCCTTGACTCCTCCGCCGGACTTTCGCAGGCCTGTGACGTGGTCGTGCGTTTCTACGGCCTCGTTCACTGGGAAGACCCCATGGACGAGGTGCTGGGACCCACCAGCAGTAGCTACACCTCCGCCGAAAACGCGGTCACCAAGGACGGCATCCTGCACTACAAGGCAGGGACCTCCTACCTGGGCAAGGAGCAGTGGAAGACCTGCTTCGTGGTGCTCAGGTGGGGGCTGTGGGTCGGGACTGGGGTCAGGCAGGGCTCGGTGGAGAAGGGGCTGGGACCAGTTTGCTGCCCAGGAGCTGCTTGAGAGATGGAGAGAATCCACCTCGTCACCTGCGAGGCTAAAGGCACCCAGTTGTGGCTGCCCAGCAGCAGGAACGCAACCCCACGGGGCTGCGGGGGGTGGAGGACAGGGCAGGAGAGGCTGTGGGACCAAGAGCAGAGGGTGTTGGTGCAGTTGCCGGAGCCGAGCTGACTCCAGTTACCACCTCTCTCATCTTCCCAAACGGCAGCAACGGGATCTTGTACCAGTACCCGGACCGCACGGACGTCACCCCGTTGCTCTCCATCAACATGGGGTAAGAGACTGGGAGGATGTAGCGCCCAGATTCGGCGGGGATCTGGCGAGCAGGAGCTCCTCGGGATGTGCAGGGAGGTGTTTCAGGGCAAATCGTGACCTAGTCCGTGCTGCAGGGCTCCCTGCTTGCCCCTGGCTGGGTACGGGCGCCCCTTTCCTTTGGCTCCGGTGCCTGTAGCTGGGGGTGGGCTCCTTTCCTCCTGGTTTTTGTGTGCCAAGCCCCGGCTTTGGTGGGGAGTTGGTCTCTGAAGGGCTGACGTGCCCCACCAAGAGCCGTGCTCGGTGACCTCTGCCAACCCGCCGTGCTCAACTCCGGCTCCACCACGATGTGCACAGACAGAGGCCAACCTTGGAGCGACCGCAGGGGGTGTCGCGGGTGTTTGTGGGGGCAAAGGGGTGACGAGCAGCGCAGGGAGGGCAGGTGGAGGCTGGTTTCAGCCTAGCGCTTGCCGGTCCATCCCGCTGACCTCCATCCTCCCCCCTCTCTCCCAGCGGCGAGCAGTGCGGGGGATGCCGGCGCTCCAACGCCACCGACAGGCCCCACTCCTTCCAGGTGATCCTGACGGACCGGCCCTCCCTGGAGCTGAGCGCCGAGAACGAGGAAGACATGGCGGACTGGATGCAGTACTTCTGCCAGGCTGTCTCCAAAGGGGTGAGCCGGGGACAGGCTCCCTCCGAGCGCGGGGGCATCGACCCCCTCCTTCACCCGGAGCCCCTTTGGGGCACGGCACGGAGCTGCCGAAGGGAGCGGGGGTGTCTGGAGCAGGCAGATTTCTCCTGAGCCAGGAGGGGGAAGGAGATGGGGCTCCTT